TTTTTAGTTTGCAGGTCATTTTCACAAATGGCCTGGATATACAGATTTAAAACTTATGTAGTGTGCTTATTAAGATATAGCCTTCCCTTGGAGGTAATTTACTTATCTAACTAGTTTTCTTAGCCAGTTTGTTTGAGATGTACCTGCTACTGTTTGTACTATTTTCACAATTTGATTTGCACGACAAGGCTCCCAAGGAACAACTCAACTTTCAAAATAGGGCCCTGGAGTCACAAAACTATAGCTAACTATAGAACTATAGAAAAACAATCAACATGAATTGGCAAGGGCAATATTTGATATGGATCCTATGCAATGCATGCAAATACCTCTGCTCCTTTGATTACCATTGTAAATCCTTGTCAAATGTTTTGTACTATTTTATCACATAGTATCTTTATTTTTAAATGTATTTTTCCTTCACCTAATAATCATTACAGATAACATTGTAAACCTGTAAAATTGTCACCAAATTCAATCCTACAGTACTGTATTATAATTTATATGTACATCAATAATCTTTAATTCGGTTCCTCAGAAAATTATTTGCAATTCCACCATTGAAAGCATTGTCTGTTAGTCTATGATAGTTGAGCCACATTGAACTGTTTTAAGTTTCAGACAAACTGACAAAAGTTTTACAAACTTATTTACAACTCTGTATAAATGTGTATTTTAAAGAATGAAAATTTGCTAGCATTTTTCAATGTATATTAAAACTTGACCAATAAATGCGAAAAAAACAATCTGATTCTTGTAACTTGTGTACTTTTAGTTGAATAGACCAACTTTACATCTCACTGACAGATTATTTCTGCTTCAAGACTTTGTAGACCATGGTTCTACAATGATAAACTTTACTAATTGAAAAAAAATATATGTGATGTTCAGCTTGGATGAAATCTGCCTAGTCGTGCCTAAGAAACAGCTGACATGTTGTTGCATGCATGCATTGTCTTTGTACCAGTGAAAAATAATGCAGGCACACATCACTATTTGGAACAATGTTACGTTCAACAAGAACTAAAACTGGACTCAAATGTTTTGTCTTGTAGGTCAGTTTTAACGGTTGACGTTTCATCTAACAGATGTGCAATTTATAATATTGGTCACAGATTGCGCTATGATGTTAACATGCACAAGGAGTGGATTCAGAACAGAATAAAAAACACAGCTTCAAATAATGCAATTGTTTTTAATAGAATGTTATTACAGTACATTCAAATTTTTTAAGATAAATCTGAGAAAATATGAATATATTAATAAACACTTCTAATCATTTCAAACTTACATATACAATATTGTATTTACAATTAATTTTGAGCCAATCCATGAGAACAAATTGGAACATGCTTGAATAGCATATGTACTACCGGGTACTACTAGTTACGGCACATAAAAAAAACATGCGCTCATGGTTCATATATCATACCCATCACTTGGCCATGATTTACCTACTGTACAAAACAAATTGAACTGTTGTGAATACATGTAGTAGTTATTTTTTTTACTAATTCTAAGTTGTCTGTACTTTGATCTCATAAACCTTGATATAACCCATTTAAATTGTAGAACACCCATGGTCGTGGTAAATGACATTCTCATTGTTTCACACTGGACACCCAGACATCAATATGACATCATAATTTGAAATGTACTGTATTTACTCTATTGGAAGTGCATCGATCTCCAATAGAAGCTTAAAACATTACTGGTGCTTATTTTGACCATTGCCACTCTATCATGTATGTAAATGTATGCACTACAATAAAATGTGGTTATTACGAGGATACTGCAAAGTATGCACAAAGTATGCACTCAGACAGTACCGCATCGACCATAGATGCGCATCGATCGATACTCCCGCTCTACTGTCTGAGTGTATACTTTGCAGTATCCTTGTAATTACATTATTATTATACATCTTTTCCTCCAAAGAATACATTATGGAAATGCCGAAATCCAAATGTTTAGAACAGATTTAGAGAACTTCTTTGTGTGGAGTCCTGTCAAAACTCAGGGGCAGCTATGTTTGTTTTTATTATTAGAGGATGCTTGCAGGCATAACTTTTCTATATTTGGAATTCACGTTTTCTAATATGGTAAAATGAAAATACCCAATGCAAAACTGCAAAATTACGGCACACTGTAACTTATGGCCTTACAAATGTGTAGTACTATAAAATACTTTATTTTAGCTGGAATTAATTTTTGCTGAAAAGACTTTTTGGGTGTTTTGTATAGAATTTATTTTCACTGATTCTTGATTTAAATGTAAAATATAGGAAAAAATGTATATTTGCTTGATTTGATTTTCACAGAATTATCTCTTCAGCGAAAATAAATTCCAAGTGAAAAAGTATTTTACAGTAATAGCAAATACAGTACATCATTGAATGATCACAGGTGCACAATTAGAATATGATAAAACATGCACTATTAGCATGTTATAAATAATTATAATACTATCGATAAACTACAGTACGGTCCGAATATAACATAGCTTTAAGCTGACTTAAAGCTGGTTAAGCTTGCTTTCAAAAACCTATATATGCATATGTAAATCTGCCTGACACAGGCAAATACCACAAGAAATAATTACGAATGACACTCAGTCTCAAAATTAAAGGTTTCAATGAACAATCAAAGCCAGGCTGAAGTTTAGTAAGGCCCAAACTGTACTGAAAAATTATGTTTAATAGTCATTTTCTTTTGTTCTAGCTATGTGAAAGTTTATTGTGTTGAACATTAAATGAACTGCTATGATACTATCTTGTTTCATGCAAAAACATTGAGCTAGAATTTACCAGAGTGCCTCAATTTCATGTGTATATGTAAATTATCTTTTTTAGCACATCGGTAGCTACAGTAGCTACAACAAAATGGTTTTTCACCAGTATGACATCGTATGTGATCCACTAACTTGCTTACGGACACAGATCGAAAATGACACAATTCACATTTGTACAGCTTGCCATCTTTGTGTAGTTTGACATGATCAAGTTTTGCTGCCTTTGTTGGAAACTCTATTCTACACAACTTACAACTTAAATGTCTTGATAATGCTATTTTGGGAACACCCGATCCAGAATAGACATCATAAATAGCAGACTTGCTTGAAGACATAGGAATGTCACTGGCTACATTCAATGTGCTCTTCTCTTCTGTATTGTTTCTTTTCTTATTGCATTTACTAATTTTAGTATGTTCCAAAGGAATACTAACAATCAGAGATTTTACTTTTTTCACAGGATCTATTTTATGTATGCGCTTGATATGCAGTCTTAAGTTGTCGCTTCTATTGCAATTATATTTGCAGTATTCACATTTAAATGGTTTCTCATTGGTATGAGTTCTTCTATGTTGTATGACTTTCTGTGTAGTGAAGAACTCAGCACCACATATGTCACACATGTAACCGCCATTCTCTACCTTATGTGTAAGCATGTGCATTGACAATGCCTCAGTATTTTTGAAATCTTTTCCACAGATTTTACAACTTAACATGGTATCTGTATTTTCACACAAATCACTTTTCTTATGTGCAACCAGTGCCTTCTCAACAGTACATGTATAACTACACTTATCACAAGTATAGATTTTTTTGCTGATCCTCTCACAGCGCTCCATGAAATGACTATTCTGGTGAAGGCTAAAAGCTTCACTATCTGAGGCAGTGAAATTACAAAGTCTACAAGTAAAATTACCAATTTCCTTTACTTTGTCAGGAATTCCCTGACCACAGCTAAGAACATGTCTTTCCAGCATTTGTTCAGTCAGTAGAATTTTATCACACTTTCTGCATCGAAAGTTAGGCCGAGCACATTTACCCTCATGAGTGTCTTCACAATACTGTTTCTCAAATAATTTGAGACAAACTTTACATCGTGTCATTTTTTCGTCACATAAAGTTTCCTCATCAGTTTTGTGACTTTCATCATGGAGATCATGTTCATCTTTCTTTGTTGAACCATTCAGTAAATTTTTAAACTGGTTCTTTATTTTATGTTTCATAACATGGCCAGGTGAAGATAATTTGATTTTCAATGGCTTTCCCTTTGTAGGTTTTCTCTTTCGCCGTACTGATGACAACTTAATTTCCTTTTTTTTCAGTTCAGATGAAGATAGAATTGAATCATCATTATTAATGACCTTAGAGCTATCAGGAACGGTGGTTGACATTGAAAGCACAGGGTCAACATGATCACTACTTTTAGTACTTGTTTTTAGACATCGAGTCTCATTGCCAGGTGGCTGCAGTGTTTCTGTAGTCTTGTCTTCTCCACTAACATTCACATTAGTATTGCACTGGACGTCGCAACGATTGTTTTTAATTGTTCGTTTCCTTCTACCTCTCTTTCTCCGCCTTGAATTATCCATCCTTTCAGATGTATTTTGTGCATCTGATACACTTTTCACAGAATTTGCATCAGTGTTGCATTTATCTTGCGCACTGTTAGTAGTTTCCGGGTAAATTGAAAATTGTGGAATAACCACAACTTTAGCATCAACAGTCTCCATTGTTGGATCTTCCTCAACATCTTTTGATAATTCTGTATCAATTATGTTTATGTTTTTTAGCTTTGGTGACACCTGTTCATCATAATTCAAACTTGCACCATGTTGTGTAGTCTGACTACTCAGCATGGTTGTTTCAATTTTTGTCTCATTCAGTCCATTTTCAGTTTTAGATGACAGATCCAGTAAGACACTTGTGACTGCAGATATCTCGTCTTCAGTTGACTGGCAACCTCCAGTTTCAATATGTTGAGGGTCTACATCAGTGTTGTCAATGGTTTCTGTATGATCAATAACAACCTCAGATTCACACACATAAAGGTGATACATGGACATATCATCCACTAGTATGTAATCATGGCCATTTACAAACTCATGTACTTCATCTGGTGTAGCGCAGTCATTCACTGCAACCATAGCTTCACCAACATCCACAAAACCAGGAACATTTAGCTTACAATTGCCACTTCTCAAATCATCCTCCAGAGGGCTCACTTTCACCAGACTCTCATTTTCCATGTTATCAGTTTTCACATTGCGGTCAAAGTTGTCGCTAATATCGGTTTGTGAACATTCTTCCATACTGACCAGTACACCTTCTAAGGTTCAAACACTGGATAATTAATACTACTTACAAAGTATGGTTCTCACGACCTATGATTATAAAGCTGTAAAATAAAAGACACATTGTTTGATGATTAAATGTATAAGGCCATGTTTTTTAAAACAAGCAGTCTCTCGACTGAGATAGCTCCACTGTTTGCAATACACATTTCAATTAAAGAACTATTAGACAAATGAACAAATCTGAAAGAGGTCTATCTGAGGTACCTACATGTATAACATCAAAGCAATCAGACTTGTGGTTTTTAACAAGAAGTCGAAAATATCACTTTTTACTGTAAGATTTCCTTAGCCCCCCCCCCCCCCATCATATAAATCCTTGATTGTACGAAAAAATAGTGCCTGACCCGGAAGCATAATACAGACGGTAAGTAACCTTTGACCTAAAAACATGGCGTCCGACCTATTGCTATATGTGTTTTGTATAGTCAACGGATATAAATGATTTTTATTATTGCGTGTATTATTAAACAAGAGTTACATCAAATAGACAATATGATCTAAAATTAATAATACAAATCAAATAAGTCACAATTGTTACCAAAGCTGGAACTTCGACTTAAATTTGTACTCATGTATGCTAAATAATATTTGTGTTTATCCACATAACACTATAAGTGGAATAAAATCACTACATAATTTACTCACCAGTAATATAAGTCATAGTTGACGGCCGGTCGGTAAAAGGGTAAAATTTTATCTTATTTTAGAAGCTAGTCCTGGTATATAATCGATCGCACTCACAAACGCATCGACTATGGCAGCTTGGTTCTACCATTATAAAACAGAGGTTTGGGGTACACCATGGAACTAAATGGTTGTAGTTTCATGGATACACATAGCTCAAGCTAAATTATTGAAGATATTAATAATCTATAAAAACACACAGAATGACAATGTATGACTCATATATAAATGTTTCATTACAATCATTAAAACATGTATAACACGATTGTTTAAACCGATTACTCCTAATGCGAAAAAATGGTTCAACCGGGCTGTTTAAAAAAAGTTCTCCCCTGACAAAATTACATTCTCTCTGTTTAGGGTAGCAATGAATATCGCTTGTTGCGTTCAACACACCTTTGTGATAATAAATAGTGCACATTCTGTGAAAGTTTAAAATAATAATAATAATGTTAACTTCATTTACACATAATTCGCAATCTGTTGGCAGTCTGCTATAAAATATAGCCGACTGGGTGATGATTGTAAAAGCAACAGCCGTAAAGAAATACAAGGAAATCCCTGCATCGGCTGGAATTGTGTGTTTGATCGGGTTATTCTGTTTAACTTATTGCGGTAAGAAACGAGTTTTAAGCTGTGTATAACTTTTTTCAGGAATCTTATGTTAAATTTGACAATGTGATGTGCGGTTTGCCGACAATAATTGTCAAGTTTGAAGTATATTAAATTGAATGTAAGCATGTCCCATTTCCGCCTAACAAACTTTGTTTCGAAGAACTGGGTTGACACTTAAATCATCAGTTATAGGCATAATATATGTCCCAGCCCAAAGAATGTTTTTATTACCGTGATATAGTTTGTTGTTGTTCGTATGTGTGCACATATTTTCGCAAATTTTGTATATGTTTCGGGTTTGTATCGTTGTCCCGTCAGGAGGTCAAAATGGTGGACCAATCACTCAACTTTGGTAGTTACTTTACTTCCTGTTCAGCGACCCAGTGTTGTTCTTTGGTATCGTATGTAGCAATATTTCTTATATGGATTCAGTAACATGGAGTAACTGGTCCTAACAACGTTTTGTATGGGACTTTTTGTATAAACCAAGAGTGCTTTACGTTTGTCACGCCATGGAGCTAGAAAGGGAAGGAGAGAGGACGCTATTATTTCTGCCTGTTCTATGATAGTTATAGTTTATTTGCTCATTAGATATTAATCTTATAACAAGATTAATAGGGTTTAATCTTCTGTTGGTTAACTTGGTGAATAGCCATTTACGTGCGGAAACTTGGTATCAACCCTTTTAATCCATAATCTGAAACTATAAAATAAAATAAAAATTTAATTACACAATGAAACAGGAAAACAAAGTAAAGCGGCTATCATATCACTTTCCAGTCTGAAAACAATATCAACAAGTTTATTATCCTTATTAATACTAACCATCCTAAACTAATTAGACGTGTGACACGGTATCTGAAAGTGTGTTTTGAAAAACACAAACTACATTAATTTTGTTACTACCTAATCTTATGTTATTTTAACGTTCTGTTTTTACCTTTTACCTTTTTACCTTACCTTTTATTACTTTCAGCCAAAAATGAATTTGTAATTTCATTACGGTGTAATAAAACTGTATTATTATTATATAATGTAATTACTGTGAAATGAAATATTCATGGTGTTTTGCCTTGTTGCTCACAAAAGTAATAAATTTCCTCTAAAACATAGTTGGTCATCAAAAAGACTATGGTGAAAATAGATATCCATGTTGAAATCAACTGTAACGATGTTGAAATTAATAAAATTGGTCATGGATGGCAACAACTTGTGTTTAAAAAATAAACAATTTAAAAAATAAGGTTCCTAGAATATCGTCATGAATTGTACATGTTCTTGCTCTGCACTCAATGACCTGGAAAATAATCCATCTACACCCTCCAATCATAAGTAAAAATCAAAGCCAAGTTTGACATCGTCTAAACAAACAATGGAAACGTAAAAATGGTAACGCTATCGCGATTTAAAACATGATTTTTCACGAATGCACATCGGTGCACAATAAAAAGCAATATCTCACCTTAACTGTCTGTTTTCAAGCAACCCATACAAACTTTAAAATCTTTTAGAGGAATCGTCGGGAGAAAAAATATTTAGCTTTGAATATCAAGTTCTTTTTCATGCACAAGACAAGTAATCAACTGTGACTTCGCTGAGAATGTATCCAGGACTGTGTTGTTTCCAGTGCCAAAGGTCACTCAATGACCTCTGACGTTACTTGGACGAAAATACGTACATGTATTGTTTGTTATTTCTTTCTGCATATTCGTTTTTATGGACGCAAAATATTTTCCCGTTCAGCAATATCTTGAAATGCAGCAATTAGCATAAGTAAATGTGCAGTCTCAATCATCATGTAAAAGTCTTATTTTAATATGATTAATTCTGTCTAAAACAAAGCTATGTAAACAGCTTAAAATAGGCTTAAATAGTGTCCTCTTGTTACATTTGGACATATGGGAGGGGAAGGTGGACAATCTTGCTTTTCTGTATAACTTGTGTGGTCAAGTAACAAACAATACCTTCAACTTGATTTTTGTTTTAGCAACTATACATGCCTATGTGATAGATCTGTAAAAACTAGTCTTTCATAAACAACGATAAAAATAGTGGCATTGTTTCCTGCTAATATAATAAACTATCGGTACTTATGGCCAATGGATTTTGAAGTGCTGATCAGTGAGAAAAATTTGGTTGGCAAAATTACACACACACTTGAGGGCTAAAAATGAAACAAATTTGATCAGTATTGCTATTTAATAGTAATTTTTCAAGTTTTGTTGATATACTGTTTATTTTTTAGTGTTTTGAACAGTATACAGTTTAGTTGTGCATGATATTTGTAGTCCTGTAATACTGATGCCATTTAATTGCACTAGAAACAAGTGCAATACTTTAAATGTACTGTAAGACCGTTTATTTTCTCTGACATTTAATATCGCTATTTTGATGTTTTGAGCATATTCACTGTTTGTTTTTTCACAAATTTGTCAAGGAAATAATGAGTTTTATTGTTATTTAGCAGATTTTACTTATCAGTGAAAATAGCAAAATGTAAACACAGTGAATACTTAATGCATTTACAAGTACATTTGTATACAGTTTTGGGTGAAAAAATAGAGTTATGATTAGGGGTTTGTATACTTCATAGGTTTGGGTTAATTTTTGACATTGTTTGGGATTTGAAACATTGTTGAAATAATAATTATTTACCGGAGTAATATGCCGACGAAAATCTGCACCCCTCACATTCACAACAATATTGATCAGTATTCCCACTAAGCTAATTTGTCACTGAAAAAATGTTTTGATTTCATATAGAACTGACATTTATCATAAATCAAAGTGTGTGAAAAGGACAATGTCTAAACCTAACCTTTGTTTTTTTGCTTTGTTTTTAAGTTAATCTGTTTAAGTTACGCCCTGTTACCGGTATTCCACATAATTGAATCTGTCTTTTACCTCTATGATTAAATGATTGCAGTGGGGGACTACAAGTACATGTATTAACTCTTAAAATGTTGTTAACCGATAAAGCTATGTTGTTTGTAGTCAAATGTACTTCTTGTACTGAATATGATTTTAGGGTGATCTTTTTTCATTATTTGTCATTTGTTAGATATTGTTATCCCTTATATAGTTCTACTCACAGGGCTTAACCATAATGTTTAAACCCACTTGTTCCAAAAGTATGTTGCCTATTTAATTACCATACGTTGTTGAGGAAAGTGAGTTACAATTTTAATAGTTTTCCTGGACTTACCGACTACCTTTAGTGTCTAGACCTAGCCTGATAAACTCATTGAGAGTTTGTACGTCAAATTTTAAAGTGGTTACCCAGTCAAAATATGTTGTGTATTTCTAATGTACAGTTAGTTGTTGGTTATATGAATTTAAAAAATGAGTTTATTTTGCCCTGGTTATAATCTGGACTCGATAAACATATTGTAAAATACTTTATTTTTAGCAGGAATTAATAATTTAATGATGAAACTATGTGTATGTGTCAAGAACTTCTTCTTAAAAAAATAAAAAGACAGGTCATATATTTTGCATAATTCTCAGTTGATAAGTTTACACAGCAGTTTGTTCTTATAACTTTTTACAGAACATTGATCCACTAATACTGTTGTTTTTATTGCCATTTGAACACTCTTATGTAAACAGATTAGTTATGCAAATTGACATGTTCTCATCTCTAAAAAACATCAACAAAATTAGTCAGCATCACTTTAACACATGTTCTTATAAATATAGGCTAATAATGCATTTCTCAGGTAGTTGATAAAGTTATTACCGTATTTATCCGCGTATAAGCCCAGGGTCTTGAACATGGAAAATCACCAAAAGGAAGGGGTGGGCGTTTGTCCGGATATCCCTGGCAAAAAAAACGAAAAATCATGAAAATTGGCAACACGCAGATCGAACTGCGACAGGGAGTAAAACGGCAAACAAAAACATGCAACAAAACTAAATGAACAATATGCAGCATTAGAAGTGTAACAAGAAATAATTTATTGCTTAGAATGTGACAAATATTAAAACCAGAAATAATAAAAATCAACAGTGAAGATTCATTTGAATTAGAATATCCCCGTCGACAAACACGTCGCCCCATACACGTGAATTATTCCGGTTTTGACAAATATCGGATCAACAGCCATACAAGATCAATATTAATTTACGCAGCAAAATTACGAAAGTTCATAGTTGTTAGAAAAAAAATCCATCTAAGATCTCTATTTGCACGTTCATTGCTATCTTCGTAAAAGTCAAAACCCTGAAATTCCAAGTCAGCGCCACTGTCGCGATTGCACAAAATCCCTATAGCTTCGTCTTGAAGTTTGTCGTTCCACACCATTTGGACTTAGCATATTTAATCCATGGATTTCGCTGTCTGGTAGCTTGGCACTTTTAATTCACGTCTAATCAGAATAAAGAGACAAGAAAAATGAGGTCGCGGCAAACGACTCGCACGATGCTTGTGTTTACCGTCTGGCAATCATCTTTGACCTTTAAGCATCCGCCTTACCGATTGGCTAAGAATGACATCACTACTAGTGTTTCATCATAGAGGTAAATTCAGCATTGCTTTTTTATCAGACTAGGCGTTCATTCATCAATCATGGTGAAAGTTACCATTCAGCAAGTTATATGGATATTGCGGTGGGCTTGAAATGGGAAGATTTTTTTTCCAACGACAGAAGAATAATTTCCATGAAATGCAATATCTGTGGTGAAAGATGGTAAAAAAGTTGGCAGTCTTCAGCATGACATTGCAAAATCGCTGGCCCCAGTTATGGATTCGCAAATATTTTATAAAGCCAAAACAATGTGCTTTAAACCACTCTCCCAGGTACGGGTTGCTACAATATTTCAACATTGGTTTCATTGTCGGCGACGCTAAAGCCGAACGAGTGCGACACTTGCTTTGCGGCTCT